GGTGCTAGCCTGCACTTGCACAGCCCTGAGAGAGTGCCTCTTCAAATTTCACAACATACACTCTTCACTTGACTCACCCAAGTCACAGCCCTGCGTGGGATATCTTGGTCAGGGAACAGATGAGTAAGGTCTGGCCCAAAGATGGGGACCTGGCCTAATAAGTCTGGATAGGTAAACTGTGATGGGCCTTGAATGGCACCTCAGGCTTTGGGAATAGATGATCGTGTTTTATTGACAGCCTATGTCTCCTTGAAGCCCTCAGTACTGCCCAGCCTAACCAGGGCTCCCACCCCACATTGTGCACTGCCGACCTAGGGCCATAAGTCATTCTCACTCCTAAGTGCCTCCTCCCTGTGTTGGCCCATAAGTCCACAGAATCCCACTACTATAGGACCCCACATGACTGTCATTGTCTTTGTGGATAAATCTGTTATGACCAAAGCAGCTGTTTGAGTCTTGGTTCAAACCCCTCCCTGGATATGTGACTTTTACCCTCTCTGAGGATTCTCACCTATTAGTGTGGATTTTCAGGCCTACTTTCCTGAGCTGTTGAGAAGCAGAGAGAAGACCATGTATAAAAATGTTTGTAATTTGAAGCACTACAAAGGGCTATTTATGTGACACCCGAGTCTGTAATTTCTGGATCTTGTGTCTGAACCCTATAAATGCAGGTGTCAGGCCCCAAGTCCCTCAAGGTTAGGGTCCTGAACAAAGCTCAGGCCCCTCCAAAAGGGTTCTGCCATCAGCCTCAAAGGGCCACACTTGGGTGGGCAGAACAACTATCCATCCCTCTCTTGGCTTTGCTAAACTGTCCCTGGGATGCTGTCAAGTCCATAGTGCTGAAGTGGCATGGCTCTCTACCTGCCTTGGCATGCAGCTGCCCCTGTGTAGACCAGGACCAGCCTGAAATCCAAGACATGTCTACACTGACCCAATAATCAGAAGCATTCCCTGTATTCTTCCACAGTTGTGACCATCCCAGAACCATTCCAGAAGGTCCACAAGTACCTGAGAAGGCCAGAGATTAGTGATTTGTCCCGGTCACACTTGGATCCTGTGCCCTGTCTGGCACCCGGTAGGAACTTGCTGTGTGTGGACATCACCACTGCCCACTCCATATTTTTCCTGTGAGTTGTGTTTGGATGCTGAGGCCATAAAGAGTCTCCACAATTTTCAGCACTCAACCCCTCCTCACCCATATCCAAGCCACGCTGATTCCTCTACCTTCTGGTCCAAAGGTGATGACATCAGCAAAAAGAGAGTTTCTGGAATTCCTCCCATGCACATTCTGCCCAGTAAAGACAGTCTTCTACTCTGGGAGATCCCCAGCTCTCCCAGACAGCCGCACCCCTCCTGCTCCAATGTCCAGGAAAGGAAGTGACTCAGGTGATGAGGTTGGGGAACACCAAGAGGTCAAGCAAACCCAATATGCAAGCCTCTTGGCAATGGCTAGTTCAGAGAAAAACGACACGTATGACTCCATGCCCAGCAACTACATGTCCACACTGATAAAGCTAAGCTTAGCAGCACCCTGGTTTTCCCTGGACCCCCACCACGCCCATCCTAGCAGCTGTCTAAGGCTGTGTCGCGCCTCCCCGTGCCCGACCTGGAGAGAGGTGAGGTAATAATCAAGGCAGAATGGTTTTCAGAGCTCCACCGCCTGGCAGGCTCTGTCCAGCGCATTCCGGGAACCAAACCCAAAGTCTGGCGCTGTGCGTGGAGGTCCAGACCCGGCACCCAGCACCGCCAGAGGGCGCTCCAGGCCCACACTAGCCCTGGAGTAGCTGCGCTCCAGCGGAATTGGAGTAAACTCCACCCCATTCTTGGCTGGAGACTAGGCTGTCTCGCAGCACGGGGAAGGGTAAACTCAGGCACTGGCGCGCACCTGGAACACCGCCAAGTGGCAGGAAAGAGCGTGGAGAGCGAGATGCTGAAGCCGGCGACCGGATGGGCAGGAGTGTCTCCTCCACAAAAACAAGGTGCATATCAGCAGAGGTCCCCAAAGGCAACTAGCCTTTGTCCAGGGACAACTTCCAGATGCCTATTGCCCCATGCTTCCTGGCATTCCTATTGGGTGGAGCTGCAAACTGGCCACGCACGTTAGCTGATGAAAGTTTAACCGTACTTCGGGAGCATGGGGTTACTAACTAGGGCCTGAGCCACTGCCCTGCACCTTCCCCAGTGCCATGATGGGGCAGGCAGAGAGATCTAATCGCCCAACATGATCTACGTGTTGCAGTTGTCAGAGGCGGAGGATCCATAAAGTTGGGCTCCCTGATGCCTTGCCAGATCTTGGTTCTTGCTGCAACTCTAACACCTCTTTCCCTCCCAGAGCATGGGGATCCCAGGGCCAGCACCAGAAGAAGTGTCTGAGATTGGCATCTTTAGGGGACCTACTGCCTTATTCTCATCTGCTCACCTCTGTTTCTCCTCTGGTATTGAAGTAGTTCAGATGTTAAAGTGAGTAGGGTTGTTGGTGGGAGTCAAATAAAGGAGGCCTGAGGTTCAGGTGGAGTGGAGTAATCAGTTTCCAGCTCTCTGAATGTTATTTTATAGCAGTGAAATGCTATTCATTCCCCAATTCTAGACAGTAACAGTCTGACCTATAATTAGACTTCAAGGAAAACTTCAAAAGAACAAAAGGGATAAAGAATAATTGCATTATTCCCAGTCCCAGAACCATTGGGAGAGCACAGACAAAAGAAGTTACCATTATTTTATGAACACACTCATCCTACCACCCAAACCCCACACTTTTCTATTTTTCACACCCTCTCCCACTTGCAGACCCACAAAGATCCCACCTTAAATTCCCTAACACAAACAGAGATCAAAGGAATCAGGACTTCCCAGCCAGATTCTCCAAGAAGCCTCTCAGGACAGGGAATGGATCTGGGGCTTTGCACAAACTTCTTAACCATGTGGCAGAGATGCTTAGGAGCTCTCCTCAGTGAGAAGTAGGTAAGAGGAAGTGAGGCCCAAATTTCCCTTCCCCTCTCTTAAAACTAAAGACAAAATAAAGACAAAAGACAAAAAAAAAAAAAGACAAAAACCATGAGAAATTTTCATTAGCAGATCTGCACAAGAAAGGTATTCGGGCCAAAGGAAAATAATGTAAATAGAAATTAAAATCATAATATGATACCACCATACTCTGTACAGAATGACTAAAATTTAAAAGACTGGCAATACCAAGTGCTGGCAAGGAGGCTGCTATGGTCTGAATTTGCATTCCCCCAAATTCATATGTTGAATTCCCAACCCCCCATGTGATGGTATTGGGTGGTAGAGCTTTGGGAGGTGATAAGGTCATAGGATGCTGTGCTCATGAACAAGAGTGTGCCTTTGTATAAGGGACCCCAGAGAGCTCTCTTGCCCTCCTTCCACCTTGTGAGAAGATGGTGGTCTGTGAAACAGGAAGCAAATCTGCTTGTGCCTTGCTCTTGGACTTCCCATTCTCCAGAACTGTGAGAAATAAATGTTTGTTGTTTAAGCCACCCAGTCTATGGTATTTTTGTTATAGCAGCCCAAATGTACTAAGTCGGAATTGGTACCAAGAAATGGGGCGCTGCTGTAACAAATACCTAAAAATGTGCAAGCGGCGTTGGAAGTGGGCAATGGGTTGAGGCCAGAAGAGTTTTGAAATGTATGCTAGAAAATGAGATGCCTACATTGCCATGAATGAACCTTTAAAAGGTAATTCTGGTGAGGGCTCAGAGAGAAAACAGGA